AGGACTTTACTGAACCCAGGGCTTTCTAGGCACTAGGCAAGTACACTCCCACTGAGCTACATCAGCCCAAAAGATTTCTTGCTTTTTACAAAGTGATGTAGCTCAATGTGAAGGCATTGAGTTCAATCCCCATTACCACCAAAAAAAAAAAAAAAACGTTCCTCAAAAAGTTTAAAAAAGCAGGTGTGGTGGCACATGCCTGTAATCCTAGCACTTGGGAGGCTGAGGCAGGCAGATCACTGAGTTTGAGGCCAGTCTGGGTTACACAGTGAGTTCAAGAACAGCCAGAATTACACAGCGAGACCTTGTCTCAAAAAAACAAAAACAAAAAAAGTTACAGTATGCATTAGTCAGTTCAGCTTACCTTAATAAAATAGTGAACTATAGACCGGGTGGCTGAAACAATAAAAATGTACTTTGCATATTTCTGGGGGCCTAGAAAGTTCAACATGCCAGAAGATTTGCCTTCTGTGGAGGGCTCACTTCTTGACTTGCAGGAAGTCACCTTTTCCTGTGTCCTCATAATGGCCTTCCTCCATGCACACTTGGACAGAGAGCCAGGGAGCTGTAGGCCTCCTCCTTCCTTATAAGGACACCAGTCCTACAGGGTCCTTAGGATCTAACTGAACTTCTTAAGGAAATCTCCCCATTTGAGGATACAGGGCTTCACCAATTGGGGGGTACGATTCACCCCAAAAAAACACATCACTTGGCAATTCTACCCCTAGGGTTATATTCAGGAAAAGTGGAAATATATATTCACACAAGACCTTATACATGAGAACTAGGATTTGCCGTAGTGATGGAGCCCTTGCCTACTTGCCCAGCACGTGCCAGGCCCTGATTCAATCCCCAGCACTGCGAAGTGAACAAACACACAAACAAAGCTAAAATTTATCCACAAAAGACAAACAGATAAAAACTTATACACAAATATTTATAGAAACATTATTCATAATAGAATATTCAAACATTATTCATTCAATGTTCATCAACTAATGAATGGATAAACAAAACTGTGGCATATCCATGCAACAGAACATCATTCAACAATAAACAGAATGGATGAACCCTGAGAAATGGGTAACTGAAAGAAGCCAGACATGAAAGTTCACAAATGATACACTACCGATATTGAAATGCCCATAACAGGCATTTCATAGAGGCATAAAAGTGGATTAGAAGTTACTAGAAGCAGGAAGCAATGGGGAGTGGCTGCTAGTAGGTTTCTTTTGGGGGTGATGGATAGGTTCTAGAATTACAGCGGGTTGCATAACTATATGAATGTAAAGAAAAAAAACTATATGAATGTCCCCCCAAAAAAACCACCAAATTGTATACTTTATGTATGTATGTATGTGTTTATGTATTTTTTTTTAAGGCAGCATCTCACTACGTAGTCCAGGCTGGCCTAAAACTCAGAGTAATTCTCCTGCCTCAGCTTCCTGAGTGTTGGGATTACAGGTGTGTGTCACCATGCCCAGCCCTGAATTGTATACTTTAAAATGATGAATATAGGGGGCTGGGGATTTAGCTCAGCGGCAAAAGCGCCTGCCTGGCAAGCACAAGGTTATGAGTTCGGTTCCCGGTACCGGAGAAAAAAACCAAAAACCAAAAAACCAAACTAAAATGATGAATATAGTAGTAGATAAATTACAGCTCAAAAAACAGTACTAACAGCATGATTATATTATATACAAAATGTGTTGAGTGTGACCAAAGCAGAATTCACAGGGTTTGTTAAATACACAGAAGGAGCCATTGTTCTGGATGAGGTTTCCACACCCCAGCAGACCACGTTGAAAATCAAAATGGAATTACTCATCCCCAAACCAAAACTTAGTTGGCTTTCCAAGAAACCAGGAAAAGGGTAACAGCCGACATTTCCAAGTGGGGCAGTTTTAACTGACATGGACAATGAAGAACCCTTTGGTTTAATCTTTATATTCTTTAACCCTCACAAAAAAGGAAACTTGAAGTGATCTGATGTGCACCACTCAGTTATTCTTCTGTCTCCTTGTCCCTCCTTTATAGAGAAAATGACTCCGAAGTGGCCAGTTTAATTTTTGTTTCTGCTTTTTCAGTCCTCTGTTTACAAAACCAACTCTTTCTTAGCCTGGGGGAACAGTTATTCTATTTTATGGAAAGAAGTGTTGCTTGGCTCTAGAATGGAAAATAAAGCCAATTAAAATCTTTAAATTGTTGAACTTTTATCCTCTGACAATTTGAAAAATTAAAATAAAAAATAACCTAGCACTAATCTCACCTAGAAAAAACCTGCAGAAAATCAGAACAGCATCAATAAAGCATAGAATAAATGGCAAAATTAAAGAGCAGTGGAACTGATAAACTGAAAAGGTGATTCTTTGTCACAACCAATAAAATAAATTTCTGGCAAGGATAATTAAGGAAAAAAAGAAAGAGAATTCACAGCCATACAATATGAAGAGAGAAAGGGAGATACTGAGGAAACTCCAGATACTAAGAAAAAAACTTTTTTTGTTTTTGTGAGACAGGGTCTTGCTATGGAGTTTAGGCTGGCCTTGAAATCACATAATCTTCCTGCCTCAGCCTCCTGAGCGCTGGAACTACAGGTGTGCACCACTATGCCTGGCTGAAATTGTAAGATATACATTTATTGGGCTGAGGTTATAGCTCAGTGATAGAACACTTCCCCAGCACATATAGGGCCCTAGGTCCAACCCCCAGCACTGTAGATATATCTATCTATCTATACATAGATAGATATTTCTAAAAATAAATTAGAAAAACATCAGAGATTATAAATGTAGATGGGAGAAAAATCTTAAAATATGAGCAAACTAAATCAGCAAACTACTAAAAGAATATTCATACCCAGTAGGATATAACCCAGGGATGCAGAGGGTTAGCTTTGAAATCTGGGTGGACAGCCTCAGACCATCAGGTCAGAGGAGAAAAACATGGTCATCCTGAAAGATGCTTCAGAGGCATTTTATAAAATTCAGATCCATTCTTGATCTTTGAAAAAAAAAAGTACACTAAAAAGTCAAAGCATTAGGTGCCTCAGGCTTCAAAGCACAGGGCTTCAGTGGCAGATGGGTTCAGTGCCCGGTCTCTCTCACCTCCTCCAACCTCAGTTTCATCGTTTGAAAAATAAATGTAATTCCATTCCAGTGAGAAATGGAATCACATGTAGAAAATCACATTGCACAGCACCAAACACAGAGCAGCACTCAGACAACAGAAGCTTAGTGTTTTGGTTGCTTTGTTCTTGTTTTTTGAGATGGGGGTCTCACTGTGTTGCCCAGGATAGCCTCAAACCCCTGGCCTCAAGGGATCCTCCTGCTTCAGCTTCCCAAGTATGTGCCACAGTGCTCTGTTAGGAACTTAGTATTTTTATTAATAAAATGAAAATGGAAGTATCTTAACCTATATCAAAAGAACAGGATTGTTAATGTGAAATGCCAAATGGAAAGTCGGTATTATATAATTAGAAAACAGATTTTATAGTAGATAGTTATCAACATGGATACAGAGAAAAAATTCTGGAAAGTAAATACCTCAAGATAATGATAACTGTTTATGTGTGGGTAATAGGATTATAGTTACTTTTTCTACACTGAGAATGTTTGTTTGTTTGTTTGTGACAGGGTCTCGAATGTAGCCCAGGCTTGCCTCAAACTCATAGTGATCCTCCTGCCTCAGCCTCCCCAGTGCTAGGATCATAGGCATGCGTCACCATGCCTGGCCCTATACTTAATTTTTTTAAATGAAAATGCAATAGCAAAGGTTAAATCACAATAGAGATGATAAAGAACAGAACTGTTGTTGCACAGAACCGGGCAGACTGGGGAATCTCTCAAAAGGCAGAGAAACAGATTAAGAACTAAAAAAACGATAAAAGAAGTGACAAGAATTGAGAATCAGAAAATGGTTGTACAGCCTAGGCTTAGCGATAGTCTTAAGAGATTCGAGGAGCTATCAGAACTTCTAGTCAAAGCAATCACTGAAGAAAACTTTTCAAGGTGGGGTGTGTGTGTGAGGGGCAGCGTGCAGATCAAAAAGGTTACTGTGTCCCAAGCAAATTCCATGAAAAGAAATCCGTATTGGTTCACTGTTAATTTTCATCAGCCGGTTAAGGAATTATTCAAACAGTATGTGTGCACACGCATACACCCAAGCTACTTAAAACAATGAAACCCTAGCTTCAGACTTCGCTGGCAATACAACTGCCAGAAGACAGAGAAGCAGGGTCCCTGGAGACAGGGAAGTTGGGTCACAAAGCAATCACATCTCTTCAGATAGGAAAAAAAACTCAGAAACCGCACCACTCACTTATCTTTCTTGCAAAGGACGCCTAAGGGATTACTTGAAAGCGTACCCCAGCTGGGAGACAAATCAAAACTAAATGTCAAGAATGAGGAGGGGGTAGTATAAAGGTGGCAGATCTTCATTTCTTCGCCTCAATTCCAGACTCAGAAATGTGTGGGTCAGTGGGACTCCAGCCCCTGCAGTCTGCCCCCGCCGCCTTCCCTGCCCCTTCCTAGGCCCTGCCAGGGGCAGACCAGCCACCCCCACCCGCGCGCGGGGCGGAGCGGTGGAGAGAGGACCCAGGGCAGGGCTCCCTTTTCTGAGACGGAGGGAAGGAACTTGGGTTCGGCTGTCTGTTGTGTTTGTTTGTTTGTTTGTTTGTTTGTTTGTTTGTAGGAAAAGCCAAAAGGTCTTTCCATCTCTTGTTTCTCTGGGAAATCAGAGGCAGAGTGGAGGGCGGCACAGTTCGACGCGTCCAGGGAGAGCGGATGCCAACTGGCTCCCGCACTCACCGCAATGCTCGCACCCTCTGTGGCCCCGGGCGAGTCCCCTGCTGCTTACGCCCTCCCCGGGGATTTAGGAACGCTGCGGGGCCTCGGCGGGGTGCGGGGACCAGGCGTCCCGGGGCCCCTTGCACCCTGGCGCACACCGCGTCTGTCTGAGGTGGCTCGGGGGCGACGCGGGCGCTTGGCGCGGCCTGGCCTTACCCCCGGGCCCGGTGGAGACGGTGACCTGCGCGTAGGTGGCTCCCGCGGCGGCCGCCGGCCCCGAGACGCCGTTGAGC